ACCACTGAATAAAAGGCCCTTGAATTGTTTGATCAAAATAAAATTTGTGCACAGCTCAAACGTTTACTATTTCTGTACAGTTTTCAACAATAAGCTAATTTCATAGTCCAGTATAAAAGGCCCTGATATTACAAATTTTAAAATATTTGAAGAAAAATACGAAAAATGACAACCACTGAATTACAGGCTTCTGACTTGTCAGATCTGAAAAAAAAAATATTTGTGCACAACAGTTTATTGTATAATGTTTCGTCAAATTTATGATGCAACGAGATTTTTATTTTTTAATTTTTTATAACATACAGTTAAAATCAAGTAGTTCTTGCATTATACTGAGTACGTTTAAAACATTTCAAACAAATATACTTTACTGTGGGTAGCATTCGTTAGCAGTCACTATCCTATTGATCACCAACTGTTGGTGGTACTGATATTTTAGAATCTTCATTGAAGTTGGAACACAGTTTGAAATTAAAAGAAAACCAGCCTTTGTTAACTGATCTGTAGACTTAAAAAATATGTATATTGTTTTTACATCAGTCGTCAAAACATATTTTCTGGTACATGTATTACCTTTAGCCTAGTTCGTGCAAGAAAAATCTGTATCTTGTTAAGGATGTTCGCTTGTCATGTTTTGGAATTTTTGTCAGATTTTCGGAATCCTCTGGTTTTATCCATTTGAATGCCTCAAAAGAAATTTGCCCATTGACCCCCATTTTTCTTTTTAGAAATCTTTTACATGTATAATTATAAACCATCTAAAAGTCTATAAAATCTTTATCATTTTTAATAGTTTTTGAGAACTTGAAATTGTCAATGATAAAGCTATGAAGAATCAAGAGAAAACATTTTGCCGGCAAAAATTTCAATGGCTAATATCTCGAAAACAAGCACATTGACCTATTTTTTTTTAATTTTTTTTTTTGCTCTTTTGGTTCCTTTATTAATCCCCTATCAATATATACTATTATTATGAAAAGGTTGTTATTTTGAAACTGAGTAGCGAACCTCCTTAAGTAAGATTTAGGTTGTAAATTGGGTCAGCTTGAAAACATCATGTTTCGATAATAAAAGCAGTATTATAGATTCCTAACTTTTTTAATTCGGTAAAACTAGTTCATTTATATGTTTTGGCGTTTAATATGACGTCCATTTTAACTGAACTAGTACACATTTTCATTTAGAGGCCAGCTGATGCCCGCTTCCCGGACGGAATTTTTCTAGGTGTGGTAATCTATTGGTGTCCTTCGGCTGTTTTCTGCTCTTTGGTCGAGTTGTTGTCTCTTCGACACATTCCCCATTTCCATTCTCAGTTTTATTTAATACAGTTTTTGTCGAGCCTGCGACTTTTGTCGCAGAAAGCTCGACATAGGGATAGTGATCCGGCGGCGGCGGCGGCGTTAGCTAACTTCTTAAAAGCTTTATATTTTAGAAAATGAAAGACCTGGAGGCTTCATACTTTGTATATGGATGCCTCATGTTACGAAGTTTCCGTCAGTCACATGTCCAATGTCCTTGACCTCATTTTCATGGTTCAGTGACTACTTGAAAAAAAAGTTCAGATTTTTTGTAATGATAAATTCTCTCTTATTATAAGTAATAGGATAACTATATTTGGTATGTGCGTACCTTGCAAGATCTTCATGCCCGTCAGACAGTTTTCACTTGACCTCGACCTCATTTCGTGGATCAGTGAACAAGGTTAAGTTTTCGTGGTCAAGTCCATATCTCAGATACTATAAGCAATAGGTCTAGTATATTCGGTGTATGGAAGGACTGTAAGGTGTACATGTCTAACTGTCAGGTGTCATCTGACCTTGACCTCATTTTCATGGTTCAGTGGTTATAGTTAAGTTTTTGTGTTTTGGTCTGTTTTTCTTATACTGTATGCATTAGGTCTACTATATTTGGCGTATGGAATGATTGTAAGGTGTACATGTCTAGCTGGCAGGTGTCATCTGACCTTGACCTCATTTTCATGGTTCAGTGGTAAAAGTTAAGTTTTTGAGTTTTGGTCTTTTTTCTAATACTGCATGCAATAGGTCAGCTATATTTGGTGTATGGAATGATTGTAAGGTGTGCATGTCTAGCTGGCAGGTGTCATCTTACCTTGACCTCATTTTCATGGTTCAGTGGTCAAAGTTAAGTTTTTGAGTTTTGGTCTTTTTTTCTAATACTATATCCAATAGTTCAACTATATTTGGTGTATGGAAATATTTTATGATCTATATTTCAGTCACGCAGGTTTTATTTGACCTTGACCTCATTTTCAAGGTTCATTGCTCAGTGTAAAGTTTTTGTGTTTTCGTCTGTTTTTCTTATACTATAAGCAATAGGTCAACTATATTTGTTGTATGGAAGAATTGTTAGCTGTACATGCCTGCCTAGCATGGTTCGTCTGACCTTGACCTCATTTTCATGGTTCATTGGTCAATGTTTAGTTTACTTGGTTAATGTTAAGTTTATGTGACAGTTGTAATAAAGCTTTATATTTAGGACTATCAACATAATATCAATGATTAGTAAAGAAGGCGAGACATTTCCGCGTGTGCACTCTTGTTAAACTGTATTCAGATAAAGATCAAGCAGTACAACACACAGCTCTTTTGAGACCTTTTAAAGTGCTTCATCACCCGTATCAAAGGCTTTTGCAAGTTCAAGCAGTACAACACATAACTCTTTTGAGAAATTTTTACAGTGCTTCATCACCCGTTGGATGAGCATGGAGTTCTCGCTACAGCCAGGTGCTGATATAAAGCCTCGTTGACGGGGGTTCATTGGAATTGCTCCCAGTACTCTTGATGCCAGTAGGTTGGTGTAAGCCACAACATAACACTTGAGATCGTTATTGATCTCCAGTTGTGTTTGTCGTATTATTCAGATGCGGATTCCGGAACAAAATTAAATGCAGTTAGTTGCTGATAGAAGTTGCTTTATGTCGTGAAGTTGCGAATGAATTTGACTGTTTGAAATTAAAAGAAAACCGGCCATTGTTAACTAACTGGTCTGTAGACTTTTGAAAAAATATGTATTTTGCTTTTACATTAGTCATCTAAACATATTTCCTGGTATTACCCTTAGCCTAGTTCATGTAGTTCATGCATTTTTGTCTCGTCTGCACCGAAAGTCGCTAAAAGCGAGACACTGGGATAGCTTCTCTAGCGACGTTGACAATGGAGTGTAGAATTTTTAAGTTTTCCGCTCAAGTTAGTTTGTAAGGAACTACTTTTTGTAAATCATTGACACTTGATATGAAGTTACATTACTATCAGTACATAGCTGTTTGACAACTATTTTGAGGCCTTGGTTAAAAATTTGGTTAGGACAAAAGTCCATTGTTTATGGTATGACATCATCCTTTCACTTATGATATATATATACATAACAATTTAAGCTTTTTTAATAAAGAGTCCTACTGCCAAACCTTAAGTCAACAAATCTATTCATTAAGGATGTTCGTCCTCTTGTTTTAGACTTTTTGCCAGATATTCGGAACCCTTTAGTTTTATCCATATAGTTCAATTAAAAAAAATGCCCATTAACCCCTACTTTTCTTTCCAGAATTTGATTTCATATAGTTTAAAATGTTATCTTCGAAAATCTAATAAAATCCTTGTTATTTTTTCATCGTTTTTGAAGCAAAAGAGGTGCCAATGTTAAATGTATGAAAAATCAAGAGAGAATTATTTCCGCAAAATTTTCAATGTCTTACATCTCGAAAACAAGCACATTGACCCTTCATTTTTTTCTGCTTTTTTAGTTTCTTTACTTATATACTATCTATTTATAACAGTCTTTTAAAATGTTTGTTATTTTGAAACAGAGAAGCGAACTCCCTTAAAACACTTGGTATAAGTTCGGTTTCCTAAAATATTGATTAAGTGCCATTTGATAGTCAAAAACAAAATATATATCTTCAGTAGAAAGTAACTTAGAATCAGCTTGAAAACTTCATTTTTCGATAATGAAAGTAGCAAGATCAGTTCTTAAGTTTTTTTTTTATTTCGGTAAAATCAATCCAGTTTTAACACTGTTGCATTCAGATGCGGATCCAGGAACAAAATTAAATGCAGTTAGTTGCTGATAGAAGTTTTTTTATATCGTGAAATTAGGAATGAATTTGACAGTTTGAAATTAAAAGAAAACCAGCCTTAAGCTTTGTTATCTGATCCGTAGGTTTAAAATATATATATATGGTTTTTACATCAGATATCAAAACATGTTTTCTGATAATACCTTTAGCCTAGGTTATGCTTTTTTGTCTAGACTGCGACGAAAGTCGCCGAAAGCGAATCATTGGTATGACTTTTCCAGCGATGTTGACAATGGCGTCAAGTATTGTTAAGTTTTCTGCTAAAGTAAGTTTTATAGGAACTACTTTTTGATAACTCAATGTCATTAAAATCTAATAAAAGTTGCATTACTATCAGAACATAGCAGTTTGACAACTATATTGAGGCCCTGACTCCTATGTCATGGTCCAGTGACTTTGAATTAATTAACAATTTTATAAGCTTATGTTAGTTTAATAGGAATCTACTTGTGATATATCAATAATATTTATGTGAAGTTTATCTCAGTTTGGTGACTATTTTGCGGCACTGCCCCCGTTGACATGGTCCAGTGACTTTGAATACATAAGCACTTTTCATTGTTCATTTTTCTACTAAAGTCATTTGAGTAGGAACTACTTACAATGGACAACGATATTGTCTATAAACTTACATAACATTCTGTACATCTCCGTTGGTCAATCGTATTCAAGCCATGCTCACAAGATCATGGTCCGGTGACCGAATTAATAAGCAATGTTGCTGTCCATCAGATAGCCTTTTTCTAAATTTTATGCTGATATCTCTATGTCAACAGTTTATTTTTAAGTAGTTGCACATTACATAATTACGTGTAAAGGTCAATAAGATGTAAGTCAAATACATCAAAATGGATAGATAATGACCTCTATATATCGAGAAAGTTTGAATGTTGATGTTTTTTTTTAGGATACTGTTAATTCAGATCACAACACCTCTAGTGAAGCTGCCGACGTTCAAGAGGAACAAGCTAATTCTCTAGAATTTGCAGTTTTACCAGACCAGCCTATTGAGATCAAGGTATCATAATGTTTTAATATACTCGGACTAGATTTGTATGTCCAAGCCAAAACCAAATATCCATTCTTCGCTTGTCACATCAGAATATATGCAAGGCAACAAATGGTACCATTTTTATCTTTTCAAAATTTTTATATGTATTTTTTCTATCATGTAATAACAAAAAAGTTGAAATAAAATGATTTTAGTTCTAAAGAAAAGAGAAAAATCCAAAACTTTCTAATATTAACAACAACCTATAAATGTTTTAAGCTTAACTCATTTAGATTGTTCCGCTTCACCTTTAGTGAAAGTATGAAAAAGTTCAATTGTGATAGCCAAATAGTAAAATATGATGAGAATGGGGAACTTCCAAAAGGCCGTGGCATAAAACAAGTACACTACCATATGACTTTTTTTAATTAATTACTTTCTTACATTCATATAAACCTATAAATCAGGTTAAGAGAAAAAGTTTAATTCTAGAATTTGTTTTGCGTCTTTGAGGTGTACATCCTAAAATGAATTGTTTTTAATTGATAGGTAAAATTATAAATGAGTTATTGATTATGGTATATAAACCTAGATAATAATGGAGAAGGTTTGACTTCCATTAGACATCAACCCACAAAGTATTGAATGTGTATACTTCTGTTTTTTCCGGTACGGTTTAATAAAAAAAAAAGTACTACATAAATTATTCTTCACAGAGCTGACATCCCAGTTCAGTTAACAGTTTGGTAGAATGTTTACAAATAGATTAAAAAGCATAGGGCTTAAAACATTCCCTTTTCTAACCCCTATATAAGAGTTGAAGCATGGACCTAGTAAGTTTATATACATGTGTTTAATTAAATGGTAGAATTTCCCCCCAATGTCTGACTTGATCATTTTGATAAGTATTCCTGGTTGTATCACAGCATCAAAAGCTCGTTTAAAGTCATTAAAACGAGCATAAAATGTACTTCCCTTAGTATATTTATCCATTAAGCATTTCAGGATAAACATCTGGTCTGTTGTATTTGACATATTTCTGAAGTCAGCTTAGCAGTCAGTCAATATATTTTTCTTATCGATATGGTTATCTTATTATGTAAGGACTTAAAGTAAGCCAAATCTACTTATTTTATATAGTCATTTTATGAATTTTTGTGACAGTAGATCAATCTGCCCATTTATAGGTAAAATGGAGCATGACATTAATTCTCAAAATACATACGGGTTCGTAGATAGACTTTCCGTATAATAATATTACGATAAACAATAAACTCATGACAAGAACAAAATAAAGATAAATGTTAATGCAGAATTATGTCCACATGTAGACAGTTTTTTAATTCGGTAAAACCAATACTGTTTTTAAACTTTATCATTCGTTTGCGGATCCAGGAAAAGAATGCAATACAGTTAGTTGCTGATAAAAGTTCCTTTATATTTTGTGAAGTTTGGCAGTTTGAAATTAAAAAAAAATCAGCCTTTGTTAACTGATCTGTAAACTAAAAAAAAAGGTATAATAATGTTTGAATATACTCGGACTAGATTTGTACGTCCAAGCAAAAACCAAATTTATTCTTGCTTGTCACATCACAACATGTGCAAGGCAACAAATGATATCATTTTTTTCTTTTCAAAATTTCTAGATATGTATTTTTTTAATCATTAATAACAAAAAAGTTGAAATAATATGATTTAAGTTCTAAAGAAAAGAGAAAAATCTCAAATTTACAAAATTTACAGCATAGGTTTTTGACGAGAAAAAGCATTTTATAAACTGTCTTAATATTAAAACCAACTTATAATTTTTTAAGCTTAACTCATTCAAATTGTTCCGCTTCTTCTTTAATGAAAGTATGAATAAGTTCAATTGTGAACTTAGATTTTTTTTTAATAATGATAGCCCAAAAATGGATAAAATTTTATGAAACTGGGTAACTTTTAAAAGGCCGTAGCAAAAAACAAGTACAGTACCATATGACTTTTTGTAATAAATTACTTACTCACAGTCACATAAACATAAACATAAGATAGGTTAAGAGAAAAGGGTTAAATCTGGAATTTTTTCTGCGCCTTTGAGGGGTACATCCTAAAATGAATTGGTTTTAATTAATAAGTAGAATTATAAATGAGATTTTGATTATGGTATGTAGCCTAAATAATAATAGAGAGGGTTCGACTTCCATTAGACAACAGCCGACAACGTATTAAATGTTTATACTTGTGTTCAAATTGGTAGATTTTCAATTTCGATTTCATTACAGTTCGAAATTATAAAAAAAAACAGCCTTTGTTAACTGATCTGTAGATTTAAAAATAAATAAGTAAATATTGTTTTATATTGTTTTTTTTTTTTCATCTCAGTTTTATGACTATTTTGAGACCCTGCCCCCTTTGAAATTGTCAAGTTACATTTAATTATTAAGCACTGTTCAATGTTAATGTTTTGCTTCAGAAAGTTTGATAAAAACTACTTACAGTGAAAAACGATATTTTTATATAAAGTTACATTACATTCTGTTCATCTCAATTTGTCGATTATTGTCAGGCTCTGTTCATAGAATAATGGTCCTGCGACTGAATTAATAAGCAATGGTGCTGTCCATCAGCTAGTCTTTTTCTGAATGTTATGCCAATAGTCGAGACATATCTCTGTGTAAACATTTTATTTATAAGAAGTTGCAAATAACATAATTACGTGTAAAAGTCAATGAGATGTAAGCCAAAAACATTAAAATGGATAAAATTTGAAGTTATGTTCTGTTCTAGCTTGTTTAGAGCTAATGACCTTCATATATCAAGACAGTATTAATGTTGATGTCTTTTTTTAGGATACTATTAATTCAGTTCACAACACCTCTGGTGAAGCTGCCGACGTTCAAGAGGAACAAGCTAATTCTCCAGAAATTGCAAGTTTACCAGACCTGCCTATTGAGATCAAGGTATAATAATGTTTGAATATACTCGGACTAGATTTGTATGTCCAAAGCCAAAACCAAATATTCATTCTTGCTTGTCATATCAGAATATATGCATGGCAACAAATGGTATAACTTTTTTCTTTTCAAAATTTTTAGATATGTATTTTTTCAATCTATTATAACATGTATAACAAAAAAGTTGAATTTATATGATTTGAGTTCTAAAGAAAAAGAAAATTCCAAAATTTACAGCATAGGTTTTTTGACGCGAAAAAGCATTTTATAAACTTTCTAATGTTTTAAACACCAACCTATAATTTTTTTGAAGCTTAACTCATTTAGATTGTTCCGCTTCATCTTTAGTGAAAGTATGAAAAAGTTCAATTGTGAAACTTAGATTTTTTTTTTATGATGATAGCCCAAAAATGGGTACAATTTTATGAAAATGGGTAACTTTCAAAAGTCCGTAGCAAAAAACAAGTACACTACCAAATGACTTTTTGTAATCAATCACTTTCTTACTGTCACATAAACATACACATAAGATAGGTAAAGAGAACAAGTTTAATTCTAGAATCTTTTCTGCGCCTTTGAGGTGTACATCCTAAAATGAATTGTCTTTGATTAATAGGTAAAATTATACATAAGTTATTGATTATGGTATATAAACCTTAATAATAATGAGAGGGTTTGACTTCCATTAGACAACAGCCGACAAAGTATTAAATGTGTATACTTTTGTTCCAATTTGTAGATTTTCTTCCGGTACGGTTTGATAAAATCAACAAGTACTACAAAATTATTCTTCACAGAGCTGACATCCCAGTTAGGTAACAAGTTTGGTAGAATGTTTATAAATAGGTTAAAAAAGGCAAGGCTTAAAACATTCAATTTTCTTATCCCAATATAAGAGTTGAAACATGGACCTAGTACATTTGTACACATTTGGTAGACTTTTCCCCCAATGTCTGACTTGAACATTTTGATAAGTATTCCTGGTTGTATCACAGTATCAAGAGCTCTTTCAAAATAAAAAAAAAAACACAAGCATAAAATGTACTTCCCTTTGTATATTTATCCATTAAGCATTTCAGGATAAACATGTGGTCTGTTTTTTATGACATATTTATGAAGCCAGCTTAGCAATCAGTCAATATATTTCTTTAATCTTAATTGTTATCTTATTTTTAGGACTTACAGGTCCCCAAATCTACTTATTTCATATGATAATTTTATGAATTTGTGTGACAGTAGATAAGCATGCCACTTTATAGGTAAAATGGAGCGTGACATTAATTCTCAAAATACATACGGGTTCATAGATAGACTTTCCGTATAATAATATTACGATAAACAATGAACTCATGACAGGAACAAAATAAAGATAAAATGTTAATTATGTCCACATTCAGACAGTTTTTTAATTCGGTAAAACCTATACAGTTTTTAAACTTTATCATTCACTTGCGGATCCAGGAAAAGAATGTACTGCATTTAATTGCTAATATAAGTTGATTTATATTATAAGTTTGGAATGAACTTGACAGTTTGTAATTTAAAAAAAAACAGCCTTTGTTAACTGATCTGTAAATTTAAAAAAAAATAAGTAAATATTGTTTCATATCGTTTTTTTTTTTGTTCATCTCAGTTTTATGACTATTTTGAGACCCTGCCCCCTTTGAAATGGTCGAGTCACATTGAATTATTAAGCACTGTTCAATGTAAATGTTTTGCTTCAGAAAGTTTGATAAAAACTACTTACAGTACAAAACGATATTTTTCTATCAAGTTACATTACATTTTGTTCATCTTAATTTGTCGACTATTGTCAGGCCCTGTTCATAGAATTATGGTCCGGTGACTGAATTAATAAGCAATGTTGTTGTCCATCAGCTAGTCTTTTTCTGAATGTAATGCCAATAGTCGAGACATATCTCTGTGTCAACATTTTATTTATAAGTAGTTGCACATTACATAATTACGTTTAAATGTCAATGAGATGTAAGCCAAAAACACTAAAATGAATAAAATTTGAAGCTATGTTCTGTTCTAACTTGTTTAGAGCTAATGACCTCCATATATCAAGACAGTATTAATGTTGATGTCTTATTTTTAGGATACTATTAATTTAGTTCACAACACCTCTGACGAAGCTGCCGACGTTCAAGAGGAACAAGCTAATTCTCCAGAAATTTCAATTTTACCAGACCAGCCTATTGAGATCAAGGTATAATAATGTTAAAATATACTCGGATTAGATTTGTATGTCCAAGCCAAAATTAAATATTCATTCTTGCTTGTCACATCAGAATATGTGCAAGGCAACAAATGATATCATTTTTTCTTTTAAATGTTTTTAGATATGTATTTTTTCAATCATGTATAACAAAAAAAGTTGAAATAATATGATTTCAGTTCTAAAGAAAAAGAGAAAAATCCCAAATTTATAAAATTTACAGCATGGTCTATTTGGCGCGTAAAAGCATTTTATAAACTTTCTAATATTAACACCAACCTATAATTTTTTTCAAGCTAAATTAATTTAGATTGTTCCGCTTCATCTTTAGTGAAAGTATGAAAAAGTTCGATTTAGAATCTGTGATTTTTCTTCATGATGATAGCCCACAAATTGATAAAATATGATGATTATGGGAAACTTCCTAAAGGCCGTGACATAAAACAAGTACACTACCATATGACGTTTTTTAATTAATCACTTTCTTACAGTCATATACACAGGTTAAAAGAAAAAGTATAATTCTAGAATTCGTTTTGCGCCTTTGAGGTGTACATCCTGAAATGAATTGTTTTTAATTGATAGGTAAAATTATAAATGAGTTATTGATTATGGTATATAAACCTAGATAATAATGGAGAGGGTTTGACTTCCATTAGACAACAACCGACAAAGTATTAAATGTGTATACTTGTGTTTCAATTTTGTAGTTTTTTTTTCGATACGGTTTAATAAAATCAACAAGTACTACATAAATTATTCTTCACAGAGCTGACATCCCAGTTAAGTAAACAGTTTGGTAGAATGTTAACAAATAGATTAAAAAGGGCAGGGCTTAAAACATTCCCTTTTCTAACCCCAATATAAGAGTTGAAACATTGAACAAGTATGTTTGTAAACATGTTTTTAATTAACTGGTAGAATTTTCCCCCAATGTCTGACTTGAGCATTTTGATAAGGATACCTGGTTTATCACAGTATCAAAAGCTCGTTTAAAGTCATTAAAACAAGCATGAAATTTACTTCCCTTAGTATATCTATCCATTAAGCATTTGAGGATAGACATGTGGTCTGTTGTATCTGACACATTTCTGAAGCCAGTTTAGCAATCATTCAATATATATTTCTCTTGTCTAAATGATTACCTTATAGGACAAATAGTTAGCAAAATCTACTTATTTTATATAATAATTTTATGAATCTGTGTGACAGAAGATAAGCATGCCACTTTATAGGTTAAATGGAGCGTGACATTAATTCTCAAAATACATACGGGTTCATAGATCGACTTTCCGTATAATAATAATACGGTAAACAAGGAACTCATGACAGGAACAAAATAATGATAAAATGTTAATGCAGAATTTTTTTCTACATGTAGAAATCTAAGTTGACAATCTCTCATTTAGTATGCAAATTAAATGTTATTAGGGACAAACATATAAAATGATGAATTTAAATCTATTGACCTACTATTTTAAAAAAAAACAATCTCTTAATAAATGCATATCTGCAGATTTTAATCTAGCCATCATGCGTCAAATAGACCATCGCAATTCAGCAAACGGACCATTGCACTTCGGCGTAGACCATCGCACTTCAGCGTCCCTATCGCAACTCCGAGTCCTTCAAATATTCCATTCATATTACTTGTTCAGAAATAGCACTGGACTCTTACATAAGGGCATTTTTGTAAATATGTACAGACAACAATAACATGAACAAGAAAAAACAAACGTAAATTACTACTTTTTCTGTATCGAAGAATGCGTGGTAAAGTTACTGAAAGTACACTTTAGCTAAATCGGTGACGTAGACATTTTACTATTCATAATTGATGGCAGTACCTTAGCAAAAATGTGTAAAGTGTCAAGCTGAGACCGTTGTCTACCATAATAACGCTCCAGTTAACATAAAAAAGATTAGATATTTGAAGTGATTCGAAATAATTTGCCGTTTATAAAATTAAAACATGTTTACTTTATATTTGCAGGAATCTACAGCTGAGTATAAAGATGAAATAGCTTCTGAAATTAAATCAATTAATTCACCCCAAGAAATTGTCACAGAACCAAATCATCCTGAGATTGAGGTATAGAACTTATATTGAGTGATGACTTATGCCTTATAAAACCAGTTGTGTTTCTGCTAACCCTAATTTTAAGTACATACCCAAAAGATTTTGTATTCAATTTAAACAAGTGCTATTGAACTCAGATTGACAAGTCAAAAGCTTTTGTTTTAAATATAATTATTCGACAACTACCATACCCTGATTGTTTCCTACATCTAACAAGAAGTGTTTTATTTTATTTGGCCTTATTCATAGTCATGAATGTTTTCAGTAAGCAAGTAAAACCTTATTGGTTAAAAAAATTGTCTAAGACAAAAGTCCCTTGTGAATATGGTATGACATCATCCTTTCACTAATGATATATATATATATATATATGTACTAGAGAAGATTTACACATGTCATGATTTACACATGTCATGATTTACACATGTCATGTCATGATTTACACATGTGTTAGGCTCCCTTTATAAATCTGCAGATTTTAATCTAGCATTCGTGCGTCAAATAGACCATCGCACATCAGCGAACGGACCATCGCACTTCGGTGTAGACCATCACACTTCAGTGTCCCCATCGCATCAGCGAACGGACCATCGCACTTCGCCGTAGACCTTAGCACTTCAGCGTCCCCATCGCATCTCCGAGTCCTACAACTATTCCATTCATATTACTTGTTCAGAAATAGTCACTGGACTCTTACATAAGGTTATTTGTCTAAAAAGTGGTATTTGTGTAAATAACGGATCTTCCTACATGCTTATATATAAGCCTTCTCCTGATCTCTCATTCCTATGTTTCCTTATCCCTTCCACCCTTCTTATCTAGTCTCTAGAGCCTAGGTGGTATAGTGGTACAGTGCGTCGGGCACTGTGCAAGGCGATTTTGTGTCACGATATCTCAGTAGCATGAGTTCGAATCCCGGCCAGGGAAATACAAAAAATTTGCTTTCGCAAATTTACAGATCTAACATTATTGGGCTGATGTTTAGATGAATGTTGCTTATTTTAGTCAAATAGTGTGGAATGGGGGTCCCTACATGTGTATATTCCTTCCATCCTTTTTCTCTAGTTTCTTGTGTACATTTACAAAAATATACAATGTAACAGGCACGCACAAAATTTGAAAAAAAAAATCTTGAAATACTTGGAATAAGTAGAATAGTATGTTTTACACAAAAATGTCATACTGTAAAATCCAAAACTATTGCAATTTTTGAAAAAATAACCATAATGCATGTTTAATTATTTCAATCAGAGGTAAAGCGTCTTACATATACTTCACATCAATAATACCTTACAATTAATTTCTGATTTTACAGAAATAATATTCTAGTTGTCTGATAAAGAACTCCTTTCAGATAGCATTTTAAACTACAAAGTTGAAGCATGACAAAGTTGATCAGTTTGTAAATATTGTTTTGCACACAACATGCACAATGGCAAATGTAGCATGATAAGCATACTTTTTAAATCTTTAAAATTGTTTCAATACCCATAGCCAGTGTTGTGGAGCTTGTCTAGTAGATGTCTTTAGAAGTGGTAATCAAAGGGTTTCGACCATCAAAATTTGGAAAAGACGGACACAATTTTTGTATTTTGTAGTAACAATGAGAACCATCAAAAATAGATTTTTAGAACTCTCCTCTGCAAAAAATATAATATAATAAAAAAGACAATTAAAATTCATGACTAAGATTACAGTATTACAATAAACCCGATAAAAGTAAAGGTGTTATCCTACAAATTCGATTGGCTTTAAGTTTTTTGGTGTTATATTTCTGTAAAATTGGGAATGGAAATGGGGATTGGTCAAAGAGACAACAACCCGACCAAAGAACATAAAACAACCCAATGGGTCTTCAACACAGCACGTAAATCCCGCACCCGGAAGCGGGCTTCAGTTGGTCAAAAATGTGAACTAGTTCAGTGTCAGAATAGGTAACAGAAGAAACTGAACAAAAGGAAAATCATACATAAATTAACAAAGGACTACTGGCAGTTACTTACATGCCAGGTTCAGACTTCGGCCGTATTTTGACCTGTAATAGTTTACTTTTACAAATTGTGATTTTTATGGAGAGTTGTCTCATTGGCACCCATACCACATCTTCGTATATCTATTAAGTTAAACTGATTGAAAGATATGAGAAGGACATAACCCGTATTATGCCAACCAACTGGTTTTAGAATAAATGTGTTTATTTCCGATGCAAAGACCCTACCATCGAATCAATATTGATTCCAAATATGCCATCTTTGAGATTAAATTACCTGACAACAGTATCGCAACTATATCCCTTCTGAATATATCTGTTTAAAGGTTTTGTTACCTCTTGAGGTGAATGACGACATTTTTGTGCTTTGTATAGAATATTAACATGAATGAGTGGATGTGAAATACGAACGTATTAGATGTCTGCATGTTGATTTATCTTTACGAATGATATCCTCGTACCAATGATAACATTAAGTAAATCCTTTGACAATTTGATTTTATTTTTTATGTGTGTTTCATACTCTATTGTTAATTTTGACATTTGTTATTTGTATTAAAAAATACTGGTACCTTATCCCGGCCTCGTTAACCATGGGTAGTATATAACAGATTGATTAGTACTTATTAGTTTACTTTTTATGAAATACATACATTTATCAATTATAATATATCAAAATAATACATATATCAAAATAGAATTATCCGTATATTTGAAAAATAATAGAAAATACATTAATTGATAAAAATCACAGAAATTTTGAATTTTGGCAAAAGCAAAAACGAAAAAAATGTCTTTCTAACAGCATTCATTACAGCTCACAAGTATTTTTTTCTTTTTGATTATATTTGTACAAGCAATAACTAAGAGGAACATAACTGTAGTTATAAACATAAACAAAACTTCAAGCATACATATCAACCAACATATAACAATATTAAATCATAACATAAGTTGTATGGTGATGTATATAGTATAAAAAAGTTCAGGTATAAAAAGTACCTATTATTTTATAATAAAAAAATATTTTAGTATTGGAAGCCAGGGATGCCAGCAATTATTGGCCATGTGAAAATGATTACTTTTAAAAAATATATTCTTTTCTAGAGTAAGGCATTCTTTCAGGTAATTTTTGAGTCCTGTAAAATTACCTGATTTTCACAAAGTTTTGTTCTACAAATATAAACTTTTGTAACCCTAAAAGAGGGTCGTCAAGTTGGTTACGTATTCCTTATTCCTTATTCGTTACCTATTCGTTACTTATTCCTTATTTGTTACCTATTCGTTACTTATTCCTTATTAGTTACATATTCGTTACTTATTCCTTATACCTTATTCGTTACCTATTCAATACTTATTCCTTATTCCTTTTTCGTTACTTTCGTTTTTTTTTCCCATTTTAACGCTTTGTTTTCTTATCTCTGGTAATAGTTCATGGTTTGCTGAGTTGAAATTACCCTTTTAACGAGTATGTATCCGTTTTTGTGCTCGACTGATACCCTGTTACTGTATATTCGATTTTAATACGTTGTACCTTTTGACAGCTTTATTTTCGTAGCTCTGTTCTTGGTTCGAAGAGGTAAAACAAAAACCTATTAGCGCGTGTGCACCGTTTCAACGCTCGACTAATATCTTGTTACTTAATCGTTCCTTATTCGCTTATAATACGTGTGTTATAAGTTGCACCTTTTACAAAAATATTTTCGATTGTTTCTTGTCTATGGTGTAAGCTATGGGTTCTTGGAGGTGCAATAACCCTATTAGTATGTATGTACCCGTTTCAGCGCTCGACTGATACCCTGTTACTTATTCGTTCCTTATTCGCTTATAATACATAATGTACGTGTGTTAAACGTTGCATCTTTTAAAAAAAATCTTTTCGATTTTTTTCTTGTCTCTGGTGTAAGCTATATTGGTTCGTAGGAGTGAATTAACCGTATAACCCTATTAGCTCGTATGTAATCGTTTCAGCGCTCGACTGATACCCTGTTACTTATTCGTTCCTTATTCACTTATAATACGTGTGTTATGCGTTGCACCTTTAAAAAAAAAATTTGAATTTTTTTCTTGTCTCTGGTGTTAGCGATGGGTTCTTAGAGGTGCAATAACACTATTAGCGCATATGTACCCGTTTCAGCGCTCGACTGATTCCCTGTTACTTAATCGTTCCTTATTCGCTTATAACACGTGTGTTATACGTTGCACCATTTAAAAAAAACATCCTTTCGAATTTTTTTCTTGTCTCTGGTGTTAGCTATGGGTTTTTAGAGGTGACATCACAATTTTAGCGCGTATGTACTTGTTTCAGTGCTCGACTGATACCCTGTTACTTAATCGTTACTTATTCGCTTGTTATAACTGTTTTATACGTTGCACCTTTAAAAAAAAAAATTTCGATTTTTTTTCTTGTCTCTTGTGTTAGCTATGGGTTCTTATAGGTGAAATAACCCTATTAGCGCGTATGTACCCTTTTCAGCGCTCGACTGATACCCTGATTATGTTCATATATTTGAAGTTGAAATGTTTGTTTCAAGGTAGTTCTATAAAACCAAATCTATAGGTCTTACTAGTATTGAATTGTATCATGTCATTTGACACAATATAAAAGTAAAATTTAGAAATACGTGTATTAAGCATTTTATTCGTGAAACGTACTACAATAAAAAATCAATCCCCTACACTACATCTCCATCAACTCATTGTCATTCAAGCAGCATTAACGACGATCTTTTATTTTTCTATCTTGAAATATAAATTGTGTCAATTTGAAAAGAATCTGTAATAAAATAGAAAGTAATTGGGGTATACACCAATAACACAAAATCAGTTCAAAATTTATACACATAGCAAAATACACATAAAGCAAGGGAACATCGCTTTCATTGCTGTTCTTTATCTCAAAGCCACAGCGATACCTTCAACACGAAAAAAAAACTCACACCTCACAGCAATTTTAAGACGACCCCTAGGAACTGCAAATTGACGATCACGACACAACTGTGAGATGAAGAAATCCACCCAT